AAAAAAAAAAAAAAACAAAAAAAATTGAAGGTTTCTGCAACTCATTAGAAAGATAAGGAACAGAAAAACAGAGACCATGTCCAACTCTCTTGATAACTTCATGATACTTAGGTAGGTACCTATCTAACTTCCCAGGAAGTTACTAAAGGTGATGTATAGACCAATCCAAAATGTAATAAAAATACTTTAAGATAAACCTTACCATTCTTGCGCAATCTTTTACGTCTTGTTGTTTTGAAGATTTGTGGGGCCTCGAAATCTTCGGGAGAAAAATGCACCTGGCAAATCCTTCCATTCGAGACATTCGTGTTCTGTTTGCATGCCGACAGCCATACTTGGCAAAGAGAGTGGTCCTTGGGAAAACGGAAGAATGACAATGCACCACCAGTGTCATAATTTTTGCAATTTGCAAACGAGCATTGTTTCGGCATCTGCAAATAAAGTAGATGGAAAATGTGAGATGATTCGGAAGAGTAAGTACCTAAACCAATCGGAGGATTTGCAGAGGAGACAGCATGTGTTTACTTAAGGCTTATTAAACTGGTTGTTCAAACTGATCTCTGCACTCAGAGTACGCATGCTTAGATGGAAGGATCAATTTAATAATTGTGCTTAGAAATATTTAGAACAAACTGATATTCCTTTCAATAATTTTGGGTGAATATCTAGTATACATAAGATTTGCCGATCAAGTACCTGCAAGCAAAGTTTTGATAGCAAGAATTACAGATAAATAATCTTTTGGTGAAATAACTAGATTCCAGATGCTTTCATCGAAATATGCCATGCACGATTCTCTCTATTTCTTTGTGTGACTTTCTGATGCAATGCACACTTAAGTAGAGATGTACGATGTACCTACGATAACACTCAGGCAAGGAGTAATGCTCAAAAAATACACTGTGTTTATACTTCTAAACACATGATAAACTTTCAGTGGCAAATTTGGGCACGGATATGCATCAACAAGTATGCTCCAAAGATTTATGAATCCTGTTGTGAGTTATAATTGATGCAGGAGTATTTATGGTAAAAGTTGGCCGTCTGTAAGAGCAGTTATTGGTCGGCAAATCGAGAACTGTACCACAGGCAAATACTAATGATGAAAATGTTTGCGAGGGTGTCATTATGACACCAATATCCATATCTATTCGGCAAGTTTAGAGACTCTTCTTAGCATACTCTCGAATTAATGATATCCAATCTTTGGTAGTAATGCTGCATTTTTCAATTATTCCCGTTGAAGAAATACTTTGCAAATGACAACAAAGTGAAGACAATTCTTGTCCTTTAAGCACGTCAAAGCTGCGCAGCAGTAAATTCTCATAATCAATTGCAATAGTCTACACAACTTACCTTCTACAGCTTTTGTCCGATCAGCAAAAAACTCAAACCAAACTCGAACACACGGGAAATCATTCAGTCAAATCACATTTTCACAAGTTCACAAGGCACATTATTATTATTTCAATCTACAAGACGAGAAAAAAGAACAGAGAAATTTCCTTGGCAGAACTCTCAGAAGCCGGAATTGATTACACGCGGAAAGCGGAAACACGAGAATGACGCGGCCGCCATGTTTGTTTTCGGCCAGGATGCAAAAATGTTGACATTCAAATCGCGCGCCACAGCTCTGCCGGCGAGAGCCGAAACCCGAGTTTTGGCCGAAAGGGTCGGGACGAGCATACCTTCGTTTCACTTACCTTGAATTAAGTGGACGTAATCCTAAGGACTGTTCGCACTCTATTCCGGTTTCGAGCATTAAAGATTTTTATGCTAGAAACTGGATCCGGCCCGAGGGACCAATTTTATGAGCGATATAAAAGGGAAAAACTTAGAAATAAAGGTGAGGAGGAAAAAAATTGAATATGGAAGTTAGAAGTTTAACTTCTCAAAAATGACTTTTGTAGGGGTATTATAATTGAAGTTTTCCGTGAAAAGTTTCCATTGTTATTTCTTTGTTTTTTTTGACGAGCAGTTTGAATTCCGCGCATACTTTTTTGTATTCTAGGAAAAACTCCATACTGGCGTTAGTTTTATATAATTTAGCCAGATGGTCATGTTTGTCTTTCAACCCTTGACACTGCTCGTCCCACCAGGGTATTTTTTTGTACTTTTTTTTCTTTTCTCTAAGTGAAAAGGAGAGGCCTGAATTTTCTTCAGGGTAGAGCAACTGCGTTTCTTTTTCAATTCTTAGAGAATGAGCTTTGAGGCTCATGTTGGTGAATTCATCATAGGTTTATGAAGGTTCAGTAAGGAGTGAATCTTGAATATTACGAAAAATACTCCAGTCCTTAAGTCGATGACTGGGTGTAGTCGAAGCCAAATTTTGAGAATTGGTAGAAGAAAAGGAGAAATTTTACTATCTGTCGAAGATATATAGACAGGAATAATGATCACTGCCTTCAGTAGTTAAGGCTCCTTATTCAAGGGCTTGAGTCAAAGTGTCTGAGATAAAAGCAATATCAGTAAGGCTCTGATCTTGAGTCGGTGAGGTTTTCCTAGTGGGTTGAGGGCAGAGGGAATTAATATTAAAAAGTTCAAGATCGTCTGCTAGTTCCACCAGAGTATTACTTTTGTTATCACTATGCAGGTATCCCCACATAGGATGTTTGGCATTGCAGTCACCTCCAATAAACAGAGGTTTATTAGCAAGGTTGTTGATTGATAGAAAATTGGTCAGGTCTGTTTAGGTGAATTGACTTTCTGGATGGATGTAGATATTCAGGAAGAATAGTTCTACATTGTTGTCCAGGATTACTTTAAAGACCTGAATTTCGATATTTTTATTAGGAGGGTCTCTATTGTCCAATGAAATTGAGTATGAAGTGAACTTAGTTTTTATGAGCGAGACAAGGCCTCCATAACCATCATCACGGTGTAAATTGATGTAATTTTTTACGTTATCACCAAAAATGTACCCGCTTTCTGGTTTAATCAAGGTAAAGACGTGTAAAATTGAAAAAAAAACCCCCGTGAAATTGGTCATAAATGAAATGTTCAGAAAAAATACATATGACGCATCCCTTAGGAGTGTGACTGAAGGTCGAATAACATTCAAGAGAGCTGCCTCAAATATAAAAAGGCTGCAAAATGTGATATTCCTGTCAATTTTCACATAGTGGCAATCCAGGTACAAGTATGCTTTTTTTATCTGTTCCATGGATGGGTATGAGCTCTTGCGTACGTCAATATGAAAGTTGTGCCCCTGTCTCTGGAACCTTAGGCGAGGCGATATGTAAAATTCATCCAATTTTTGGCACCTTGGAACAATTTTCTCGGAAATTTGGCAACACAGGAAGAAGTTACACACATGCGTTTATTCATTTTTTTCGCCTCCAAAAAAGTACACAGCTTTCAGTTTAAACTAAGTTTTACTCAGGTAAAATTGACAAAACCTTAAAAATGGGTAAAAAATGGCAACAATGGACCTCAAGGCCCCTAAAAGTTCATCAGAAGGCTTTCTAAAGGCCAGAAATAGATGTTACGCAAAAAAATGCACCAGAATAACCTCTTAAAACTTGTCTGTGGCAATGGAGGGGGTGTGCAGACGACTTCGAGCGCCCGGATTTCAATCGGCGCGCGCAAAGCGTAAACTTTGACAGCTCATATCTCTTGTACCAATCGTTTCCCTGGGAGGTATAATATATCAAAATGTACGGAAAAGTTCGGCAAATAAAATGAACAGCTTTTTGTTCGAATCGAGAATCCGGCATTTGAAGGTGTACTATGGTTGAAAAAAAATTGGCTCCTAAGGAAGTGTGAAAAATGGCATCATTGCAATCTTAAATAGCCTAAACGATCGAATTGACTGTATATTTCAAGAGAACGCAATTTTTGAAGAATTTTTGCTCAAACCGCATCTCAATATCTTTTTTTGTTCGAACGATATGGCACTCAACGGTTTTCAACTTGGCAACGCTGCTACGGGAAAAGAAATTCATTTCAGGCCTTGAAACTTTGGGAAAAGGCGTATTCTATAATGAGGAATGACATATTGAAACTTGGTCAAAATCCACGAGGGGAGGGGGGGGGGATTTTGCCGATTTTGCATACACCCCTTTCACATGCCTCTAAGGGATTTTGTAAGACTTCCTTAGAGCTCACATGAATTAATCGGCCATTTAAGTTTTGAAATGGAACTTCACAACAGTGTTAAGTACCTACATTTTCTTGAGCTTGCACTTATGACATCAAATCCCCTTCTTTTGTTTTATCAGGAACATATTTAGTTTTTGGGACATCGAAAATTACATTTCTTGCAAAAAAAAATGAAATTAAAATTTATAATAATCACCATTATTTTTTGATGCCAGGCATCCATGAGCCATCATCTCAGACTGCCAACTTCTAGCTTAACCAGTCAACACGGGATACATAATGGCATTGATTTCCCTTCATCATCAGCTTCTTTCGCACATTCCTCATTACATATTTAGCCTACGATTAAGAATTGAAAATTTGATTCTCCTTTCAGAGTTAAACAATGCAATGAAGAAAACAAAGCTCTATTGAAGAGGGTGAAAGTACTGCAGCATGAAAACGAAACATTGGTTGCGCAGCTAGGCAAAGCTCAAACTCAATCGTCGACCTCACAGGCCCCTCCAGCAACGTGCTTGCTAGTGTTACTTCTGTCTTTAGCTCTTATTGTTGCTCCAAATCTGCGCTCTCAAAAGGCTGCAAACGGGGCTGTTGAGAAAGAATTAATGCTCGAATCACAATCAAGCTCACCTTTTGGAGGTAAGATCAACCTTTCATTTTATTTTTACACTGTTCATGAAATTGAAAGAAATAAATAGCTTGTAGACCCCCAACGCATGGATTGTTCCAGAAATAGACCACTAGGCAAGGTGTGCATCTAAGCATTACATTACCTACTCTTTCATCAAAATTCCATGCAGAACACAATTTGTACAATGAAAGTTTTTGAAAGGAACTCCGAACAAATATCAATATTTTTTGATGCATTCATACTTACATACTTGTTAATCGTAAAGAAAAACGTAATGTACTTGAGTTGAATCATCTTGCGGGGAAATCAAAGCCAAGAAGTTCCAAAAATTATAATTAGAGTCAAAAATAATTTGATTTCCCCGTGGAATGGTGTGGACCCAGCACCATTTCTTCACCTTGTTACATACAGTATTCGGGCCACTTCTTAGTGTTTTTTTCTCACTTGAGTTAAGTTGCACACCGGACGTTTTCCTGACATTATCTAATGACAAATGATATGGCAACTTCCATCTCGGCGATTCGGCTCAGCTGTCGCACATTATTCACTATTTGAACAGAACAGAATGGGAATGGAACACTGCTTAATGAGAATCCTGCCATAACTGTTTTTCTGCGCTATTTGATGCTTGCAGATTCCGATTTCTTCTATGAGCTCGAACTTCAAATTTTTCGTAACCAGTCCTTTAAAAATATGTCAATATCTTGATTAGGAATTGATTTCAGTAATTTCAGTCGTGCACAACAAGCTCTATGCGAACTTTCAAGAGAAATCGTATTCAGGATACTTTAATTTTTTCCTTGCCTGGCAACCGATTACTTTTAAAAAGAGGTAGAAATTGTGGAGTCTTCAGCGATCACTAGAGGACCCTCAGGATGGAGCAAGAAACCATTTTTTTCGAAATCCGATGACGGCTAGTGAAATGGACGAGGAAAAAATCCTGGCTCCATAGGACAATGCTTTCATCGAAAACATGGGGCTCGAATTTTCAAGATCTCAAATTTTTTATTTTACCGTATTTTTTTTCTAAGATAATTTTTGGACGACACAACTGATACGTACCATATATGTTTTCACAGGTAATTTAAGTCAGAGAATCTTATTAGCCCGATTTAGCAAGCCGAAGCTGAGGCCGCAGTCACATTTTACTTTGAACAGGCGCAGTAAGGTACCTATACAAACGCGAGCAGTGACAAATCTGAAAAAAGTCCAAACTTTGCGTTACATTTTAAGTAAACAGCACAATTTCACACACTTCAATAAAGTTGCAATGCTAGGTGGCCGCAATGAGCCACATGAGCTTTTTGTTAGCTTGACAGTTCGTTTTAGAGAAAACCAGTGACTTTTTCATGTTTTTCACGATATTTTTCAAGGGGAAAAATACTCAAAACACGAATCCTAGACGCACACTAGAGTGCCATCTCCAAAATGTGGAGTGAGATACCATGTGATTCCCACCTCTTCAAAGCTTGCATTTTAACTTTTACTACCTGCTTCCATTTCAGGGCGCACAAGACATTTGTTATTCTCTGAAGCCAAGACTTCTGTTATCTCGGAAGATCTATCTCCAGCTCAGCTCGTTGATGTTGTCAACTCATCAAAACTCCACCAAGAGGATAGCAGCTCCTTCAGTACTCTTCTATCTAACTTGAAAGACCTTCTCAACTTCACTCCAAAACACATGGACTCTATAATGATGGACCACGATTACGATCGACCAAGGAAGAGAGAGAGGGAGCGAGATTTCATCATCCCTCCGCTTGATGGGTTATCGCCTCCTGTAGCAAAAAAGCCATACGCCCCATCCTACAATGATCGTTTTGAAAGCAGTGTAAACAAGACTCACATGAGCGCATTCAGTGATATAATAAAGCAGGAGGTCATCATCGTTTCAGATGATGAAGAAGCTATATGAATTGGTGAATATGAGTATCCTTTGTAGCCTGCATGTAAGTGCAGTTTACCATCTAGGCAGACTCAGATTTTTCTTTTATGTATTTTGAACTGTTCGTAACCTTGTCATCCTATGATGGTTGATCATTTTGGATGCTTTAAAAATGTATAAATTAGTCAACCAACAAGAGTTGACCTTTGTCTATTCATTTGGTTCTTGTGAAACACAGAATAGTACTTTTTAATATGTGCTTGAATGGTACCGACTTTTCCCAACTATTTAGTGTAAGTGGCTCCTATTAGATGCATGATTATTTTCTTCATCAAATGTGTTTATAAAATTTATCGAAAATTGTAATTTTTTGTTTGGTTTCTGAGGTTCCGACTCGCTCTTTAAAATTATCTCATTTTAGTTCTGTGACATTTTGATGGAAGTGTTCACAGTTGGCTTTTAAAATAATTTTGTATGAAATTAATGTTAGTTATCTTCTTGATTGGTGCAATGTCACTTCCGATTCCTGAAAAATTTACAAATGATTTTATTATTATTATTATTATTTTTCTTGGGTAACTCGGAAGAGGGAACACTTCTGGTACAAGTATTACTGACGGGCCACAGGCCAAAGTCAGTAACACATACTATCTTGCTTAAATAAAAAGTAAATGTTATTTTAAAGTAAAATTAAAAAAAATTAAATTTTAAGTGAAATCAGAAAATTACTCGATATTAAGAAACGACCTGACAATACTTAACGTGCTTATGACGACGGACTTCTGCATTGAATGAAGCAGGTAACCATCTATTCCAAGGTCTCGAAGATGTTGAACTAAACTTTTTGGAACTATCCGTGTTACTGACATTTTAAGGGGCTTGATGCAAACAATGTTCAATGTTATTATTATTATTATTATTATTATTTTTTTTTTTTTTTTTTTTTTTTTTTTTTTTTTTCGCCCATTTTTTTTTTTTTTTTTTTTTTTTTTTTTTTTTTTTTTTTTGTAACTCAGAAGAGGGAACACTTCCGGCACAAGTATTACTGACGAGCCACAGGCCAAAGTCAGTAACACATACTATCTTGCTTGAAAAAAAGGGTAAACGTTATTTTAAAGTAAAATTTAAAAAAAAAATTTTAAAAAAATTAAATTTTAAGCGAAATCAAGTAAATTATTCGATATTAAGAAACGACCTGACAATACTTGACGTGCTTATAACGACGGACTTCTGCATTGAATGAAGCAGGTAACTGTTTATTCCGAGGTCTCGAAGATGTTGAACTAAACTTTTTGGAACTATCCCCGTTACTGACATTATCAGGGGCTTGATACAAACAATATTCAGGATCCATAATCGCTTCATTTCTGCAGCTAAGGGCAGATATTTTACCATCTTTTCCTGATACTTCAGCTCCAAGTTATGATTATTAGGGATGCTAATATCAATGATGTAAGCGGTGCGATCTCGCTTATCAACAAGCACTATGTCCGGTCTGTTTGCCATGATGGTTTTATCGGTTAGGATCGGGTTATCCCAATAGAGCCGGAAGCGCTGATTCTCCAGGACCGTGGATGGGCAATATTTGTAGTAGGGTTCAGCAGTATCACATAGTTCTCGATCGTTGGCCAGCGCTAGATGTATAATTTTAGCCATGTTGTTATGCCGCTCGGTATATTCCTTCCCTGCAAGCAATGCGCAACCAGATGTAATGTGATCTATTGTCTCGGATGCAGCATTACACTTCCTACACTTATCGCTCTCGATCTTCTCCTTCAGTATATATCTCTTGTAATTCCTGGTACTGATCACTTGGTCTTGTATTGCGAGAACAAATCCTTCCGTTTCTGGATACAGCTGCCCTTTCGATAACCACAAGAAAGACTTTCCTTCACTAACATGATCCTGCGCAACTGAATGATAAAAGCGTCCATGCAGCGGCTTGGAGGCCCATGCCTCCAACTGGCCAGCAACTGGGTCTGAGGGTTGTTCTTCATTCAGATCGTGACAAGCGAGGCGCAAAGGCGTGTAGGATTTATCTATGGCATTTACTGCAGCGTGCAAAGTGCTGTCGTTTCTACTGAGGAAGTAATTTTGCAGGTTACGGACTTGGCTGTGGCAGACCTCCTTCACATCAAGGATACCTCTTCCCCCCTGTTTGCGGGGGATGTGTATTCTCTCCTTCGCGGCTCTTGGGTGATGCTTATTCCACTTGGTCATCAAGGTTCTGACTTTCCTATTAAGCCCCTCAAGCTCCGTGTCAGACCATGGGACAACGCCAAATGAGTACGCTAACGCAGGAATGGCGAAGGTGTTGATTGCCTTGGTCGTATGTTTTGAGTTTAGAGAGGTCTTAAGTATCGCACTCAGCCGATCAACGAAGGTGTTAACCAGGTGCTCTTTGACTCTCACCTTCTGGATGGAAGAGCTCTGCCACATTCCAAGGTATTTATAAGCATCCTCCATTGTCAAGCTATTGATGACGTCACCAGAATTGGTCACAAAACCATCCTCCCGCACTATAACGCCGTTTTCTATATGGAGCGTCGCGCATTTAGGTACTCCAAGCATCATGCCAATATCATCACTGACCTCTTCAATCACCTTGAAAAGTTGATGCAACTGGTCTCTTTGGGATGCATAGATCTTAATATCATCCAAGTAGGCTAGGTGGTTGATGACGTGGAGTACTTGTCTGTTCCGACGTAGAGGGAACCCTACCTTCATCTCTCGAATGCAATTTGAGAGGGGATTGAGGCCTAAACAGAACCACAATGCACTAAGACTGTCACCTTGAAAAATACCTCGCAGGATGTGGATGACCTCAGTTTCCAATTCACTCGCCGATCCTTGTATTATGATTCTGGTGCGCCAAGATGCCAAAATGCTCTTCAGGAAATGAACAATGACAGGATGGACTCGGTAGATATTTAAAACGTGAATTAGCCAGCTGTGCGGCATTGAATCAAAAGCTTTTTTGTAGTCGATGTAACCCACATGTAAGTTACGACGTTCCTTTACAGCCTGCTTGAGCACAACCGAATCAATTATTAACAGCTCTTTGCACCCGAAGCTTCCCTTGCGACACCCTTTCTGCTCTTCACACAAAATTTTCCACTTAGCTACATGTCTCCCAATTAATCGGGTTACAATGGATGTGATGACTTTATAGAGCGTGGAGAGACATGTAATCGGTCTATACTCAGATGGGTCCTTCGAATCGCCTCCTTTATGTTTCGCAAACGTCACTCCTTCAGTCAGAAATATCGGCATTTTGTCAGGATGAGTAATAATATCTTGAATGCTTCTTGAAAGCTGCGTATGCACACATGTTAACTTTTTCAGCCAGAAATTGTGAACTTTGTCTGGTCCGGGAGCCTTCCAGTTATGAATATGCAAAGTTGCTCTCCGCACATCTTCCTTAGTGATTTCAACCTCACCTTCATGTGTAATGTGGGCATGACGCACTGTTTCCTGCTCAATCCAAGGAGCTGTGCTATTATGCTCCTTGGCCTCTGACCAGATGGATCGCCAAAATCGCGTTACGTCATCTTTCGATGGGATTTCTTCGGGAGCGTTTCTCACATCCGCGGCGTTTCCCATCCTTCGATAGAAGGCTCTCTCATTACGCTGAAAAAGAGCATTATCTAAATGGCGCTGGTATGATTTTTTATATCTTCTGAGTCAGGCAGCTTGAACTTTTAACTTCTGCTTCAGTGTATCAAGATGGGTTAAAAGGTTTTCCTCATTCACATGGGCCATCTTCGCCCTTAACCTCTTTGAGGTATTCCCCTTGACACACTGGGTGACTCTCCCAATCTCCTGCCTTAGGTTGGCCACTTTCCTTTCAATCCTAAGTTGCCATCTTGGTGCATTCAGTTTGATTCCCCTACGCCCATGATTTGTGGGGCCTTTGACGGCTTGTGTTATCGCCTAAGCTGCACAATAGATGATGCAATGAACTTCCTCTAACGTTGATTCTTCACGAATGGGTGCTGGTATAATTCGGTTCATCCTCTCAATACACGCGACCAACTTCGGAGTGTAAGGAAGTTTTGGCAGTGACTGTCTAAGATTTGGACTGACTCCTTGCCATTTGATCATTTCAGCAATAAATGCAACCTCTAGCGTATCAGCTTTGATAACGTTCTCGTCAGCAGTATCAGTTGCACACTCATCATGCTCCGCATGTACGATGCCTTCATCAGTGTGTAATCCCGGTACAATGTCTCGCTGTTCCACCGGACCGTCTGTGCAAGAAACTGACGCGGGATCAGCCTCTAGTACGTTTTCTTCGTCTTCACATTCACCGCGAGAAATTTCAAGTTCGACTTCATCTTTGATATTCTGCAGATCATCAGCAGACATTTTACAAGACTTCAGTATCACTCGCTTTTGGTCCATTAGGCGCTGCTCTGAGACATTTTTGCAGTCAGGGAATCTATCAAGAAAAAGTTTCCGCATTTCCGCCCGGTATCCAGGAATCGTTTCCATTTTAGACGCGAGGTAATAACAACGCATGACGTGTTGATTCATGCTTAGAGTCCAAGCCATGCGTTGCCTGAGTTTCCCTGCTTTAGTGGTCGTCGGCTGACTAGTCGACGAAACACTTGGAGCAGGGTTGGTATTGTTGGTTGGCCGTCGTGCCATACACTGGGACGATCCACGACCATCTTCGTTCCCAGCGTGGGGACTATTATGCGCGCCATGTTCCCCAACCCTTGACGCGACCGAGGCTCTTCTTTTATCGTCTTGTGCAAGAAGATCACTGACTGGGGGCTGCAAACCCCCAACCAGGGATGCGCAGCTGGTTTTTCAAGTTGGGACAAGCACAACTCTACTTCCTCGGACGCCCCTGGCGATGTTTTGGCCACGAGGATGCCCAGCCACTTGCTCGGGTACCGCGGGGTCGCCAGCCCTCGAAAGGGCCTCCCGTACGACATTGAGGTCGCCCCTGAGGTATTATTGAGTTATGAGTTATTATTTATTATTATTATTATTATTATTATTATTATCATTATTATTATTATCATTAAAAAAAAAATATTCTCAATGTATTTCTAAGCTCCTCATCTCAAATACAATTTATTGCTGAAGATTTATAAAGTTTCTCACAGTCTTACCAAGAGTGCACGAGGATTAGGAAGGATCGAAATTTTCGACTTCAAGAGGGGAAACGCGTATTATTGAAAAAAAGGTGTCAAGGGGGCCCCATATGAAGTACCGAAAATTTCGCTGCATAAAATTGACTCCCTTAGGCTTCAAAGGTCTAATTTTTTAATACTTTATAATAAAGATTCAAACACATGTTTCCGTACAAATTTTGTCAAATTGTTGGATTTTAGGGCGATTATCCCGTTGTGACGTACTGACGATTAAAGCACAATTGACCTGTTCTTTCCTGACAAATAGTCAAAAGCGCCCTCCAGAAAGGCTCATCTACAGTCATGTCGTAAAAGTGAGTGTGATTAGTCAATCCTAAGAGATTTTGCTGAATTACAAATCGTAAGCAAAAATTTCGTCCGTTTCGGCGTATTTCTAACCGTTTACCCACAAACAAGCGAAGGGTGTTCGAGCTATGCACAGGGCTTGGCAAATCTTGTGTTCGGGAAATTTCAGCTGTGGGGAATCTTAGTTTGATAAGATGAGTGACAGTCTGCGACCTTTGGAGTTGTAGTGCTGACCCATTGTGATCAGTTTTCGCACAATGAGTCAGTTAAGTCATTTTTATTTATTGTGTCATTCAAAAGTAGTAAGTGACCGAAGCTCACAGTTTTTTTCCTAATTTTTCTTGATGACTGCAAACGAGAGAAAAGT